AAATCTCACTACACGTCTGCCAAATAATATACAAACAAAAAATCCTAGTTACTAGTCAACGGATCAAGACTGCTGGAATGAACACAAAACATCTCAGGCATGACTCCTGCGCCGCAGCGAACAACACACCCTGCTGATACGAAGATGGTTTGAATTCTGACTACAGTTAATCTCAATCACTCAGAGAACAACCGGAGCTAGAAACTAACTTCTTGTAAAACTCTGTGTGCACCTGGTGTTCTCGTCGTTAACTTAATTCCTTCACTTTGATCGGACCGCATCGAAAAGACCTCAGCAAAGAGAAGACGACTGATTCAGAACTGGCCAGAATGCATAGGTGAACCCGTAAAACATCTTGCCACTACATCATCTCATTCACTCGTACAGTTTTATCAGGTCACGAATTTGCGTGTGGACATCTCGCAGCGATATTCGTTCGGGACTAAACAGTGTTTTGAAGGAATGAAGTACATAAATGAAACATTTAAACAGGTTTAAAAGCCAATAAACAACACTACCAGGGCTCACGTTTCCGTCCTAGCAAATAACGTAATTCAATAGGTCGAATAGCGATCTGCTCGCCTCCCCTCCACGATTTTTAGCTAATTTTGAGCTACTGCTTTGATCATCGGAAGATACCTCGCTTTAGTGGCCCACTAGTTGCAGATGCAGCACAGCAGCGGCCTCTTCACTTCCATCTCCCTCTCATAAAGGTTCATTCTACCACGATTCTTATCTTTAGCTATTACGAAACAGAAGGCCCCCCCCCCAACCCGGCTGGCGCGTTATACTACTGCCAAGGCAGTTGCCCAACTCAAGAAAGAAATAGTGGCAACCGTGCAAGCGATTTAACCCGTAAGGTTCAACTCGCTCAGAAGCTCGATTCATGGGAATTTCACTCGCACATGCTTATAGCTGAGATACTTGGAAAGAACACTCACTCAGCCGTAATATTAGCAACAAATTGTTCGAGCTGTTCATCCGTAGCCGCAAGAGGGCCACGAGGAAGACGAGAAGTTGCTGTTATGAGCCACTCCTTGTGACGCTGGAAAGTCATGAAAATTTACGTAGAAAGATATCGCAGGTCTGAAAGATTCTTACCCCTCGATCAATTTTGCTCAACATGTACACGATCTCGGCAAGATCCCGCCGAAGTGACCCCGTTACCTGAACATGGGGAATATAGCAACTAACTTTGCTGACTTAAATTAACTTAAATTGTCAAAAGAATCTACTTCTGAAAAGATTTATTCAGAGTGTGGTCAAGCAAGCTCACGTAACTCACCTTGAAGATCGCTGCGGACGAGTATTCTGCGTTGCCAGCAGCGGCACAACTGGAGCAACTCGATTGGAGCGTGGTTTGGCATGGTGCCACCAAACGCGTTGCGTGAACTCGTTCATACGTCCGCTTTCTGAGCTGTTACCTGTTCATGAGTGAAAACCAACGGCCAAAAAGGGGTCCCGTTTTGCGTTTTCTTGACGGATTTTTCTGCTTTTTTCGCCACTGGCGTACCATTGAGCACCACCACGTCACATAAACCCTTCTTAAATTTATCGTAATCGCTGCCTTTAAGCTGAAGAAGCCAAACTATTGAGCTTCTTAATGTAGGACTTTTAATGAAGACAAGCCTGTAGACAAATAAGATAAATTGAGACTTCAGACAAACTGCGATCAAAAACTAACACAAAAACCCGACAAATATCACAAAATAGGTTAACAACTTCTCTTCAAGGATGCCGGCGTAGTGACCACCCGCGGCCATGTACAATTCGTCGTCACTGAGTATGGAATAGCGGATCTCGCAGGAAAGAATGTACGTCAGAGAGCATACGAGCTGATAAAGATCGCCCATCCAGATGATCGCCAACTGCTGGAGAAGCAGGCATTTGAACGTCTCAAATGTATGCCCTCTTTGTAGCGAAGCTATAATAAAAATTTGAATTTTATAGCCAGAAAGGCATTTTGACATCGTGAAAACATAGACGTGTGACATTACAGTAACCCTAAAACTAAACAAGACATTACGCTCACCTAGATACACGTCAGAAATGAATGAATTAAACAAATACAAACGGCAAGTACGGACAAATCAGTTGCGTTCAGACTTCGCGATTGGACTAATCAAAAAGATCAGTTTGTATTCTTATAAGCTCCGTCCTTATCACAGCTCTGAAAGCAACCCAGAAACTTCAAGTTGTAAATGTAACTTCAGTATCCAGCAAACATCATGTCCTGAACGCGATTAATTATGAAACAATCAAAATCATTAAATTATTAATACAATACGCCTACTATAATACGCAATAAGTCAATCTAAATATTACAACACAGTACCCAGGTCAAGAAACAAGGTCAAGAAGTCACAGGGAATCTCAGAGAAAAATCTATACAATGAGTTGAATCAAATATAATAATTTACCAGCTGTAAATCAACAAGTGGAGCACGAAATCTCACTACACGTCTGCCAAATAATATACAAACAAAAAATCCTAGTTACTAGTCAACGGATCAAGACTGCTGGAATGAACACAAAACATCTCAGGCATGACTCCTGCGCCGCAGCGAACAACACACCCTGCTGATACGAAGATGGTTTGAATTCTGACTACAGTTAATCTCAATCACTCAGAGAACAACCGGAGCTAGAAACTAACTTCTTGTAAAACTCTGTGTGCACCTGGTGTTCTCGTCGTTAACTTAATTCCTTCACTTTGATCGGACCGCATCGAAAAGACCTCAGCAAAGAGAAGACGACTGATTCAGAACTGGCCAGAATGCATTGGTGAACCCGTAAAACATCTTGCCACTACATCATCTCATTCACTCGTACAGTTTTATCAGGTCACGAATTTGCGTGTGGACATCTCGCAGCGATATTCGTTCGGGACTAAACAGTGTTTTGAAGGAATGAAGTACATAAATGAAACATTTAAACAGGTTTAAAAGCCAATAAACAACACTACCAGGGCTCACGTTTCCGTCCTAGCAAATAACGTAATTCAATAGGTCGAATAGCTATCTGCTCGCCTCCCCTCCACGATTTTTAGCTAATTTTGAGCTACTGCTTTGATCATCGGAAGATACCTCGCTTTAGTGGCCCACTAGTTGCAGATGCAGCACAGCAGCGGCCTCTTCACTTTCATCTCCCTCTCATAAAGGTTCATTCTACCACGATTCTTATCTTTAGCTATTACGAAACAGAAGGCCCCCCCCCCCAATTAGGTCCAACCCGGCTGGTGCGTTATACTACTCCCAAGGCAGTTGCCCAACTCAAGAAAGAAATAGTGGCAACCGTGCAAGCGATTTAACCCGCTCAGAAGTTCAACTCGCTCAGAAGCTCGATTCATGGGAATTTCACTCGCACATGCTTATAGCTGAGATACTTGGAAAGAACACTCACTCAGCCGTAATATTAGCAACAAATTGTTCGAGCTGTTCATCCGTAGCTGCAAGAGGGCCACGAGGAAGACGAGAAGTTGCTGTTATGAGCCACTCCTTGTGACGCTGGAAAGTCATGAAAATTTACGTAGAAAGATATCGCAGGTCTGAAAGATTCTTACCCCTCGATCAATTTTGCTCAACATGTACACGATCTCGGCAAGATCCCGCCGAAGTGACCCCGTTACCTGAACATGGGGAATATAGCAACTAACTTTGCTGACTTAAATTAACTTAAATTGTCAAAAGAATCTACTTCTGAAAAGATTTATTCAGAGTGTGGTCAAGCAAGCTCACGTAACTCACCTTGAAGATCGCTGCAGTGAGACACAGTTCAATCAGTTTTGCACCATGATGAATGACAAGATCTTCAGCAGCTTCGACACCAGCATCGCGGAAACCAGTCTACAGAAACCACTTTAGGGTAAATGAAAGCATCATCAAAACCGCAGCAGTGAAATCGCAACGATACCTTCCTGGCAGCAAGCAATTGCTCAATTATGGACCCGAAGAAGCGGGTCACGGATCTGTTCGCTTCTTGATGATCCAAAGAGAGACACACCATTGCGCACTCAAAAAGTGCTGTTGCTACCGTATGCGTGAAAAACGCTGAAGGAGCACGTGTCACGAATCTGAAGTTAATTACTCTATCGGATACTCATTTTGGGCATGCCAACTGCAAGAAGAATTTTGTAGGGAATTACTCTCCGAAATCACGAAATAAAAAGACTCCAGATTAGATAGAAACATAAGTATAGGAGCACCTCATCGCAAGACGGAAAAGGTCATCAACTGTGTCGGGATGGTCCCGCGGCCCATTTTCCAAGGTTAGCACTGTGAAAGTTCCATGGGCGAGAGTCTGCCACAATAAACACATTAAGATAAGGATCATGAGAAGCTTTTTCATCGTAAGTTTTTCATCTTAATGCCACCTCAAGCATAATCATAAGGCCAGGCTGTAACGATTCCATTCCGCCGTACTCATCGACAAGAATTGAAGACAAATACAGAAAGCATGAATGCTGGTGCCTTGAGAAGATATCCATCATCTAAAAGAGTTGCATAGCAGTTGCACAACAGCAGCACGAAAGGACAGCAACGTTTCAAATTAAAAACTGAAAAGCGGTGCTTGACTTACCTGAGTAATGAGAGGTTCAACAAAACCAATGGATTGAACGCCAAGAGAACGAACAATAAATCTAAATTACACATCTCCATTGCAAATCGCTTGCACCAGAAAATACAGTGGAACGACTATGTTAAGCGGTGAAATGTACAGGCGATAAGTTGAAGATGCTCCCAGGACTGCATGCTGCGCAAAAGTGCATCACGCAGTGACTAGTATGGGACGATATCAAAGTATATTTCGCAATTTTCTTCAGCGAACAACTAATATTGATGCATCCCACCTTGAAGCTTACCATGAGTAACCGCTTCAAAAGCCGTATAAGGTCCAAGGAGAATGAAAAGAGAACAAAAGTACAATCCTCATCAGGTTTCTACACAAATCAATTGGACATGAAACCAAATGACACTACATCGCAGAATGAAAACTAAGTCACAAAGAAACGTTGTACCTGATGGATCGACAACAGTGCTCCACCACTCTAGATGTACTTTCGTAGCGTTTCAGGGACTCTGATAAAACTCCATACAACTGTGTGGCTATGTCCAACCAAGGAGCTTGTTCAGACGCATTGCCGTTCATTGACTTCTGGAACGAAAACAATGATTTCAAGGGCAACACCCGCAAGATACCAGAAGTAGAGATCGAGAACTAATCACCACTTTATTAGATTGAGAGGTGAGCATGATACTTGAACATGGACACGATGTTGCGGAACAACGAGGGCTTATGCACTACAGGTTAAGCATTCCACATCCACATAAAAAACGAAGGCGACCGCTCGCGACTGTGAGAGCAAGACTCATGAAGGTGAGGTAAGGATCACCAAGAAACGGTCTGTAGCCTATTGAAAGCGTTTGCTAGAAGTTGGGACGACAGGCAATAATTCCCGGGACTCCAATCCAATTGGCAAGATTTGGTTTGTTAATAGTGTGCTCTAGAAGCTGCCAGCCGCGCTGGCTACTGCTGATCACCCTTTCGCAAATCTGAACAATGCCCTAGTGGTAGAACACGCATTCCCATTTTGCAGGACCATTCACAACAGCACTTCCTCTGCTGGGCACAGACTGCTTGAATAAGCGATGTTGGAGTGCTACATTGAAGCCTCCGTAGGCGACTGATAACGGTATAACTGTGAGAAACAACTTATTACCGAGCCAGCTCCATTCCAAGGTCGAACTTCGCGGAAAATAGTCGCTATACGATCAATCCACAGAACAGGTTCACCAGCGATTCTAGCCCATGAATCAGCAGCCTTCTCATTTTCATTATTCATGGAAATCACAGGTGTCGAAGATAAAACCTGAAATGGGTGAAGTTGAGAAGGGAAACAGTAAACATGGTCTACTGCCTACCATTTGCAGCCGCTGAATTATTGGCTGGCACATCTCAGTCAAACGTTGGCGAATACCGTCTTCTGGTAGGTTCATAATGAGCACTGTGCAAGCTGTAAAAAACGCACGAAAATGATTGAACTATAAAGAAGAAAGACCCAGAGAGGGTGGCAGTACCCTTCAGACAGCTGGAGATTGCCGCTTCCATCTTTTTGCCTTGACTCTGTGACGACTCCAAATGGGGTACAAGCTGTAGCAGTAGTGGTATCAAATGAACAAGCTCCGACGACGAACGTACCACAATCTGAGGCAGAGACAATCATTTACCTTCTAAAAATCTACCGTGGCAACATCAAGACTCACTTTGTCTATGGCCTCTGCTGCTGGAGCGGCAAATACAGGGGTTACTGCAAGGTGGAGAAGCCATTCGACTACCTTCCCTAAAATGACCAGTGTCTCAGCTTGAAGCATCCCCTCGGATTACGCAATAGCGGTGCAATTATTTGCTTACCCAGGTATGATGGATTCTTGCTCAACCACTCATTCGCGCTTCCAACGAGTTCCACTGATGTAAGCAAAAGTGCAGGATGTGAAGTCGGTGGAAGACCAATTATTGCAGTCACCAATTCGGGAACCACAGTATTCTCTTCGCTAAACTCTACTTATTATAAATGCAATGAAAACCACAAATAGCCATATTATGAATACCATAAAACTAATGAAACTTGCAATAGAACACAATTTACGGTATAATGTTGCCGATGACAGTCGAAATAATGAAAAGAGCCGCTTCCGTTTCATCCCATGTACCAGACTGGCTGCATGTCATCAGCATCGAGTGCATCTGAATTGACAAAATAAGCAATTTTCATACCACCAAATAAAGCACAACATTTGATTGTGAAGACTCATTAGAAAAGTAAAAATTGATTCAAAACATACACTTCTCACACAAGCTTCTGTTCCGACGACGAAAACAACATCACGCACTGTTTCCACCACCTGAATGCGATAATATTAACTTCTTCAGATGGATTTGGGATAAAATTTATGCCGTAGTCGAAATAAGGGTGACACTCAAGAAGCTGCGATAACGTTGAAGAAAAGGATAGGCGAGAGCTGCTGCTAACGGGCCCGCGCGTGTGTTTCAGAAGCACAGTCTACAAGGATAGCGTGTGCTCTGTGCGAACACGATAGCCTGTAGATAGCCAAATATTGTGAGGCCATTTTGAAAACAACACCCATGAAAAATGATTGCAACAACGGTACCACAAAGGGGTCTAGGCTTTCTGATAGTTTGCTAAAGACTATATCAATCAAGTAAAAAGGGGAGCAAGGAAACATTCAGACCTTCAGTCTAAAGTCGGCGAAGTCACCGTCACGGTCCGGAATTCCTTCCTCTTCCGTATCATAACGACAGTGGCGATAAAGGGCAGTCAAGTATCTGGATATTCATCAGAAGCAAATGAGAGAGAGAAAAAAAAAGAAAAATTCAACAGAAATGGCTTACCTTTGGACGTAAGGCTTGAACTTCTCTATATGTTGATCATCCTCAAAACTGAACAATCCTTCCGAAATTCGATACCATATGTTGAAGGTCATTTCAATCAACTGAACTTCTCTATTAGTGAACATCCCTGCACCAGAAAGTAATTTACAAGGTGGGGGTATAATAATACACCTACCGAGTAGTCATGATGACCTGCCAATAGAAGAAGAAGTTCGAGAGTATTGATGCTGCCCATACTGTTCGGATCATCGCTGCCTTCATTAACAATCTTTTCCAGCAGTGACTCAGCAAGTTCGACAAATATGCGAGCGAAGTTCTGCAGTCTAAATAAAAAATGAATGTAACTCACCCATAAATTTGCGTAAGACAGTAAATTGCGTTCCATCAAAGTAAGGCTAAAGTGTTACAAATAAGCAAAAGGACTGACTTGTCCATATCTTCCATAGCAACTGCTTGGTTGAAGGCTCCATGGAGTTGGTATACAGCTGCTTGAAGACTCATTGCTAACGCTTGATGAGCGTGATGGTCCTCAGCCCGAACAAGCGCTGAGACAGCACATTCTGTAGCTGCGTCGTGCAGAAAGTTTGGTGCATTTGGAGCAGCCTAGAAAGAATTTCCTAGTTAAATTATCACATCAACCACTTAACACCTAAAATCACGGCTGATGCAGTACTTATTATTGATGTAATCTAAATCTACTCGAACGTGTTGCGCTTGTGAGCTTGTGAACACCCACTAGAATTTGAAAGACGTTGTTGAGAAGTGGGCTGGCAGCAAACTGGTCAGTAGAGAGGGCTGGATTTTGTAGATACGCAGAGAGACATAATAGAACCTTCTTTATCATGTCGTGATCAGCAACGTAACCTTCCAGAACTTGCGACTAGAAATAAAGAGCTAGAATAAGAACAATACAACAACAACTCTAAGGGTTATTATATAAAACGCTGAAGTGTATTGAACATACCAAGTACGCAATCACGCTTGCTCCGCTGGCTGCGAGTTCACTACGAATCTCATTTCGACGATTCTCGCCAACCTTGCTGAACTGAACCTCTTCTGAGAAAACCCGAAGCAGAGTTAGCAACATGCGAGTTCTGTCACCTTCTAATGCGGAAAACCTGAAAGACTTCATAGAGGTAAATGGCAGTCAACAACCTCAGGTCAATTTGGTGGGTTAACATAGAAAGATAATGAAATTGTGGATGCCGATCGGAATAAAATGGCAGAGAAGCAAAGCAAACCGCCGCTAGAGCCCTTGAACAAAGACTCCCTTAGTCCCTCCTTGAAGTGATGGATGGGCGTGTTGGTTCCACCATTGGCCGATGTCAGACTCTGCGATTGGAGCGATTCGGTCAAATGTGAATCGCGCGACCATCGCGCGATTCACATTACTCCCATCATGACCAATCGCTCCAATCGCGCGATGGGCGCGATCACTCCCGTTGTGGCAGGGAGCGATCAATAGCTGGCGCGCCCCCTCGATCGATGGTCGCGCGATTCACATTTGACCGAATCGCTCCAATCGCAGAGTCTGACATCGGCCATTGGCTCCACTAACCCGCGCATATATGAATCAGCGGCTACGTCGTAATCCACGTTGCGTGTCGTGGGGTTTGTCCGATGTATCTCGTCCATTAGCTCACATTAGCAGAAATTAGGCCATTTTGTAAACCCTTCCACTGTCATGCACTTTCTAGCTGCGACAACGGTACAACTGTGATACTTGCAGGCTGCGCTCTTCTATCCACAGAATAGATTGTTCAACACGACCTCATCTGTATTCAATCACCAATATTCAACACAATTATATAAACATTGCAAAGAACGTACCGGTTACTCTGTCACAAGCTCAGTTCAAGCATCGTATAGTCACAATACTGAGGAACCAAGAGTCATAGTTTTGTGAGACTGATTCCGAAGTTACCTGTTTTAGTATTTGAGTTTTTTTTTTTATAAGCACACTGTTCTTTGTATAGAAATGCTCATTTTCTTTTTCACGTGTGCCTTCTGCAGACGTAATAAACTTATACTTATCTGGGGTTGTTGCTTCAACATACGTGATGCTTCAGCAACCTCACTGTATGCAATGGGAAGTATGGCTCAAATTTTCAGTATGTGAATGGACATACCGCTGGAGCAATTCATTGACCCAATTCTTCCACTCGGGCACCTGAATGTAGAGATCAGCTACAGCGAGGCATAGTTGCGTAGCAGTGGCGTCTGCTACTTGGTCATGACATGAGACATCGATATAACTGAAATTACAATCGCTCTAAACAAATTCATTTAATTTGAGTCGCGTGATAACCGACCTCAAATGAGATATTAACGATTCCCTGAGTGAAAGGTACGCATCTTTCGGTAATTCGCTGAGAGACTTCATTATCTTTTGCCGAAGCGTCTGAGCCGCAAAGCAACATGCCAAAGGATCTCGTCGTTCGCACAGAATTCGATCACAAAGAGTCCATGCTTGCACCTGAATTTTTTGGTTTTTGAAAAATATGAAATGAACAACGAGTATTGAAAGGCAAAAAAAATCAATTGAAAGCAGCGCTTTGAGAATCCAAGAAATATCAATCAAAACTCTGAGAAAATGGTTGCCTTTCCTGACACCAGTACGACTACAGAAAAATTGGGTCAAATTTTAAAAATTCAAGTGAGATGGCGGCAACGTTGGAGTAGCGAACTCAACGACATGTAATGCCTACACTCCAACCAAACGGAAAGAAAAAGCATCTATCTATGACTTCGCACTAAACAAAAGCTTATTCCAGAATGTTATTTGGAACAATCATTAGACTGTATTTTGCTGGAATCACCTACTCGCTTCTTCCATGCATTTGCTTACAAAAAATGTCTAGAAACCAATTACAAATGGAAACTATCTGTGTTCACAGCAAGACGTTCACAAGCAGCGTGAACACCCAAAGCTGCTCCTGACGTCAACGGCATGAAAAATAGGGTGCTACAGGAGGAGCCACTAAGAGATATGTCACAATTTGTTGTATAGGTAATAAAAGTAAGAGACATCGAGAAGCAAAGAATATGGAATGGGCAACTGCAAAAGGATTGCCATCACTTGCATGCACAAAGTCAGGTAGACAAACCAAAAAACCGGGGATCCTGCTCGGTTTATCATCTGTGGATGTTCATAAAACTTGACCTACTTACAATATTCAGAATATCTCAATTGAGTCTATGAATTCGAGCCCATCTAGTGCTATGTACTATTAACCCATTGGCGACATTGCGGGTCGATGTGGGGACGCAGCATAGAGATAATTCTTCTACGCAAGATTTTAAAATTATTATAATGGCACATTAATCAGGAAGGCGTTGTAGTACTTATGGTAATCGTGGCCCATGCATATCTTTCCTAAATAATGTTTTACATAAGCGGTGCTAAAAAGTGATTTTTTTAAGGCAAGGCTTGTTATTTTTAAGTGTATACGGCTGGCTTCTTGCTTTCAGTTAGCTAGAGGGCTGGTACAACTTCTCACTAGAAGAGAACGGGATTCGACCCTATTTGCCAATTCTGGAGTGGAAAATTGAAGTTCTCCTCGCTTGCTCCGAAATCCACCCTGGGCCGAACGAAAAGATTTACGCTCATTTCGGGTGCGATCGGGAAAGTTTTGAAACGTGCAAAGTCTCAACAGTGTCTGCTTTGAGATTCAACATTTTTGGTGCCAGTAGTTTGGTGCATTACGACGCATTTTTCGAAAATATAAAAAATCGCATTGTCGCCAATGGGTTAACATAGGTGGGCTTATTGATGCTCAGTGTCCCCTATGAATTATTGCAGTGGCACGCAGGGTGAATATTCGGTAAACTAACACTTTCCATTTTCTAGATCAAAGCCTACATAAAAAAGCGTTTTTATGAAACACAGATCTGGTTCATCTACTTCTTGATTCCATACCAAAGCTGCAAAAAGCATGAAACTCACAGAACTCTGCACACTGTTGAGCCACGCTGCTGATTCTTCATTGTTCACTCCGCTGTAGAATATGGATATGTTTTGATAAGCAAGCGATAAATCTATAGGCTCGGTCATGTCTAGAATTTTTTTGAATATGTACATTCTTTGTGTGATATTATTATCGGAACTTTACAAGAAGCTGGTTATTCAAATAATGACTGTAAACAATACCATTTCGTGAAAAAGAAAGATAAAAGCATTTACTAACGTCTTTATTTTGTTCACAGAGTGAATATCAAACGACACTATTGAGAACTTTGCAATACAACTACATCAAGAGGTAGCATTTGACTATGGAAATCTACTATGGAAACAAGAAGATGTCAGAAACTGAGAAGATCAACGCGGCTATCGAAGAGCGCTCGGAGACACCCGGTATGTGTTGTGAACCCTCCGGCTACACGCGCCTAAAAAGTGGAAGAGGTAAAAAGCAAAACCACTATAATAGTTGGTCTGCAAGTAACAATATAACACTCACTAAACTAGCAGCACGAATATGCTGTAGGTAACCCTTCGCTTCGAGTTCTTCTTTGCTTGGGATTGGGGGGCCGTTGATGAGCAAACGGGGAGGCTTGTACTCAAACGCTCGTCCAGACATACGTTGAGAAGTGGAGAATGACATAGACTCCGCCATCCGCTTTCGATCTTGCAAAATCTCTGAAGCAACAATATTGATAAAGAAGAATAACAAAAGCTGGTGGAGAACAAACAATCGCATTCAAGATAAAAGCATGCCTTTATTTCGCTTCTTTCGCCTTGCGGCCTCCTCCTTTTCTTCGAGTTCTTGTTCAATCTGACGCTTCCTTTCTCTATCCAGAATCACTTCAGCAGGAACATTCGATTCGCGCAACTCTTCCATGATGGCCTTTGTGTCTTTGACTGCTGATCTTTCGACTTCTTTCTAAAAAAGCAACTGTGAATTCCATAGCCCAGAAGCAAAAAACCAACCAATTTTCTATACTCCTGTGAAGGAAACCGATCTAACAATAAGTTTAATACTTTAGTAAAAAGTACATTTTCTTGATTGTGAGCCTGATCGACGCGATTTTTCATTTCCCGATCTTCTTTGAGGTTCTGCATGATCCAAATCTGATCTTCATCTAACCTGAATATGCGAAACTAGAAAACACGACATAGTGAAATACTCAAATTAATTTTTACGCACTTCTTTTTGTTACGTTCTATCAATTCAGCATGTGTTTCTTTGAATGCTGCGATCTCTGCTTCCGTTTCTTCAACATCGATACCATAAGCGAGATTACATACGAGGCACTCGAACCTCAAACATCAAGGTTAGGAATGGAATACGGTATGCGAAAAAGAGAGAAAATGGAGAGAAAACGGAGGGAAATACAAAGGATTGTGCGAGGAGTCGAGTATGAAATGTTCCACAAGTATATTAGCGGATACAAAATACTTTAAACTATTATGTTCGTGACTACTATCCAAAAGATGTTGAAGTCATCATGCGTGCGACCAACCGGGTAAAACATAGACTTTAAAATGTTTCACAGTTGAAAGAATAAGATTCCCAAAATTTCGGAGTAGTGCAACTCGCCTGCGACGATGAAATAAAAATAGGGGTAACCACTCACTGGGATTAGGGAACCACGGGCAAGCAAAAATATTATTAAATTCAGGAAAACTAAAGGGAAAAAACTGCGATTGTTTTAAATGGTGAAGAAATCATCCAAAAGAGGAAATACTGTCTACAGTGTATTA